GATTTACTCGCGACAGTAACTGCTGACTGGCGGGGTGAAACAACACAGTTTTTCCAATGCGGAGAGCTATACATCTTACAGCCTCCTTGTTCAACGGGGACTTGAGCCGAGCGTTCCACTCCACCTGTGAAACACAGACTGCCCTTCTGTTGGGACATTAACATCACATGCTCGACATGCTTGTAATACCTGCATGGATAGTGGCCTCACCTTGGATAGTTGCATGGGCAACGGAATATATCAATAGCTTACCTGTAGGTCACCACAAAGTTAGTTTAACACATATTCGAGACGTGTGTTTATTCCATGTAACCGTTTATTCGAGACAGACGTGTATCCCATAACTGTTTACTCTAGACAGACGTGTATACCATAACCGTTTATTCGATACTGACACGTTTATTCTGACTCTCTGTGTCTCTCACTCGATGTTTCTCTGTGTGACTGTCTCTCCTTCTCTGTGTCTCTCACTCGATGTTACTCTTTATGTGACTATCTCTCTGTGGCTCTCTTTCTCTGACTATCTGTGGCTCTCACTCGATGTTACTCTCTATGTGACTGTCTCTCTTTCTCTGTCTCTTTGTGTCTATCACTCCACACTTCTCTCTGTGACTGTCGATATCTCTCTGACGCTCTCTCTCTCTCTCTTTCTCTCTCTCTAACACACTCTCTTAGTGTCTCTCTCTTTCTTCCTGTCTGACTTTCTCTGTGATTGTCTAACTCTCTGTGACTCTGTCTTTCTCTCTTACACACACACTCTCTGTCATTGTCCTTCTCCTTCTGTGTGATTATACACTTTCTCCTCAACACTGTCTTTCTCTCTGACACACACACACTCTATGACTGTCTATTTCTCTCTGACCCCCCTCTGCCTCCCCATTTCTCTCTTTATCTCTCCCCTGCTCAGTTTCGTCTCCCCTCATTCTCTCTATCTCTGGCCATGGGGCGGCGGGGTAGCCTAGTGGTTAAAGCCTTCGCGCGTCACGCCGAAGACCTGGGTTCGATTCCCCACTTGGGTACAATGTGTAGCCTATTTCTGGTGTCCCCGCCGTGATATTGCTGGAATATTGCTAAAAGCGGCGTAAAACCATACTCACTCACTCACTCTTTTTCACTTGGCATCTCTCTATCCTGATCCTTTCCTCAGTCATTCTCATTTGACATGCTATGCTAAGGTGCCCGTACTGCCATGCCCACATAGCGGGTTGTTCGTAGCTCAGTACGGATGGTATGTACAGCGTCCATACAGCTTCACCATGCGTTTGTGACCAACGGCGTCCTGATCATCTGTTCAGGAACAGACAGGTGGGAGAAGAACAGCACCCCAGTATGTCTCCGGCGTTGTAGTGAAGGTTACAATCTTCCACCGTCTTGTCATTGTAGAGATCTGTTTATAGAGTGTAGTGTAACTCGCATACAACAAGCGACAAGCTTTTGTGAACATGAAGTACATTATTACAAAAAGTAATATTTCGGTTTTATCAGATCCGACCATTGCGTGATGCTCTGTTGATTTTGTTAACGGCCATTAATATTTTGTTTGAAACCAGATCTAAGAGGGAGAGGGTGCAGCTTTAAAGAACAGTTCTATTTGTGACCAACATAGTTTTAAAGATCCCCACAGATAAAGGGAACACTTACGATCTACCGTCCATAAATTATACCTATATATATACAGGGAGTGACAGGTCAAGGCTTGTTTGTGCTTTGCGTTTACTTTAATGTTAGAAACAACCCACTTGGAACGAACTCACGTCATTCGTGTCCTAGCAAATGGGATTCAGGTCACTCAAACAGACATGTTTTGTCTGCGAATGCTGCTGCATGAGCTGAGCCCATCACTCCAGTATTGATTTAATTTGACAGATGCAAGTTTTGGTTTCACACTGTGCATGATGTTGTCATCCAAAAGGGGCGGTGGGCAGCCTAATGGTTAAATCGTTACGCTGAAGACTCGGGTTCGATTCCCCACATGGGTACAATGTGTGAAGCCAATTTCTGATATCCCCCGCCGTGATATTGCTGGAATATTGCTAAAAGCGGCGTAAAACCATACTCACTCGCTCACTCACTCACTGTTATCCATAAAGTCGTATGATTCATTGCTAACAAAGGATTAGAATTTATCATCTATGGCCAACTGTAGAGCTTGTGTGAGATCATACAATATCTCCTAGGAGATATCGTTTTGACAGTAGATTTTGTACAATGCCCTAACATCGCTGCACTGCAAATGGCAGTATCGTGTTCAGAGATGTACATTTTTCATTGAAAACTAATGACAAGTGATTTTTGATGATAAATAGAATCTCGTCCTTGTGTCTTCTGATATCAAACATATCAACACTCGTTGATAAAAGTGAGGTGAGGTGAGCTGAAATATAAGGGTAATGCTATTTTTGAGGGCATTATCATTTGCAGAAGCCTGAGGTCTTGAAAAAGACCGAGGGCTTCTGCAAATGCCCTCAAAAAAAGCAATACCGTTATTATTGCTAAAATACATGGAATTTGTGTTGAAAAGAAAAAGGAAACAATGAAGGAATTTGACTGTAAGTTTACCAAAATTAACTTCTGACGGGGTTGACTGCCTGATTGCAATTACGTCATCGAACAATTCAAGTGATGTCACAACAGAAAGTGACGATATTCGACCTTGGCCTTTGACAAGACCATAGCCTGCAACATGTTAAACTATGTCAGTGTCCGGTTTTGGTCCATCAACAGCATTAATAGTGCAATTGTTAGCACCATCAAGAACACCAATATTACCGCTATTTAAAGCGGGAATTCGGGTTGCTTTGACTTGTTTGACCCAGAATATCTGCCAGTCGAAAGCCAATTAATGTCGAATTAACCGTAAGTCCACGCACCCACTATGACGTCACATGACAACAGAACTGATAGTGGCCCGTCGTTAAGGTTGAGCGGTCAATATCATTTGCAGCGGCCCGCAAATTTCTGATAATGGGAGGGCCGTTTCATGATAACTCCATGTATTTTAGCTATAATGGGGTTAAACGTCGCACTTAAGATTATTTTGCTCATATGACGACGTGTGTATGTGTGGCTGATTGTACTAGCTATAGTGCTAGCCCACTGAGATACCATGCCGCAGTGAAGCATGAATACCCCACTCAGACACAGTATACTGACTCCGAGCCGACCAGTCCTGTTTTACCCATTAATGTCGAGCGCCAGGCAGGGACCAACAAGTACCATATTGATGTATTTTGGTATGACGAGGCCGGGGATCGAGCCCACGACCTTCCGCTCTCCGGGCGGACGCTCTAACCACTACACCACGGAGGCGGTTCACTACAGCGTTAACCCTACCTGTATTAGCACGAGGTCTGTGCAACATCCTCTGGTAGAAACAACATCTGCATGGTTCCCATCACAATAACCGCCTCCGTGGTGTAGTGGTTAGAGCGTCCACCTCCCATCACAATACATCAAATGTATCTTATTATTTCATCTATCTTCTATAATTGCATCTTGCTGTCACATGAAACGAGCTGGCCGAGCGGAATGACGCCAGTCGGGGGTTTATTATCCAACATACGTTTCCCTCCGCGACAGAATCGTGAAACCCTCCTTATCTTACCTTCATGTGAGTGAGTGAGTTTAGTTTTACGCCGCACTCAGCAATATTCCAGCTATATGGCGGCTACCTTCATGTGAATTTCATTGGTCAATGGCGCTTTAACAAGTTTCCGTGTCACCCTTCCCAGGAGGGTGACAACTGGAAAAAATATTACCCGCTGCCACGGTAACCGCCAAACTCTCCGCCGAGTAGGTGTATCGCTAACAATCGTATGACGTCAAAATATGAAGCATGCAGTGCCCGGAGTTCAAAAACCGTTCGATTAGCTGTTTTAATGAGTTCACTATGCACAGAGTATTGTAGCGACATTGCTTTATTTAAACTATTTCATTCATTGAGTCGTTTGCACTCAACATAATTAACCATTTTTATAGCAGTTTTAAGCTTGTCAGAATATGTTTCACTGATTTTAAAAATCCGGTCGAGAGGCAGACGCCATTTTATTTACATGTCATATATAGTCGGTAGCGATCTTCAAAATAAAATAATATGATACTTTGTACATTAAACATGGCGATAAGATAAATACGTTGTATGCTTCTCCCTCTGGTAATACGGTCTGATGTATTACCCTCGAGAGAAGCATACAACTTATAATATGTTACCTCCATGTCACACCGTGTCACATAGCATAAGTTTCGTCGCCATATTGGGCTATCAGATTAGTGGATGACTCAGGGTCGCTTGAATCAATACTCACATTGAGTTATTTTTATATCCAGTATACCCTTTATGGCGGCGGTGTAATCTCGTTTAGTCAGCACAACAAAATGTTTTTTGACACAATTTATGATATGAGTGAGTGAGTGGGTTTAGTTATACGCCGCACTCAGCAATATTCCAGCTATATGGCGGCGGTCTGTAAATAATCGAGTCTGGACCAAACAATCCAGTGATCAACAGCATCAGCATCGATCTGCGCTATTGGGAACCGATGACATGTGTCAACCAAGTCAGCGAGCCTGACCACCCGATCCCGTTAGTCGCCTCTTACGACAAGCATGGGTTACTAAAGATCAATTCTAACCCGGACCTTCACGGGTCATTTATGATATGAATTTACTATGAATCTCTCTCTAATGGTAGACACTGCAGCACCCGTCTCCACATATGGATTCGAACCCTGATGTTATGTGAATTAGCGAATACTACACCTGTGTGCCAACCGATGGGTTTCAACCGATGGCAAGGTTACCATCTTGTTCGTTGTGATCCCAAAACACTTTGTCATAAATCGTGGTGAAACTCTATGTTGTATTTATGTAATCTCGCTGATCGTACCCTATGAACGACCAGTAAACCGTTTTCTATATTTAGTTTAAAACTGTCTACGACGTCAATGAACAATTGATACTGAATTGATGCTGAAACTAACACCCACGTCTCTTATTTCCAGGACATCGCCAACAACCCTGTGTTTATCCTGAACGAGGCGCGCCGTCATGACCTTGACCAAGGTTACTTGGGTATGTCTCCACCCCAACCCCCTGCTGGGAACGTGACCTGACCATGACCCCAATGTAGAGTGTCAGAATAGATCCCCAGAAATTTATCACCCGTCTACCACTCGACTAAATTGCATCGGGAGGTCAAGCTTTTGTGGCTGTTTGTTTGTACTTGTACCCAGACGGCGGGAGACATTATTTGTACCTATATCAGTGACTGGTAATGTAGTTTATTGTTTAACGCAGCTATATATTACGTTATTATAAGCGTAATGCTATTTTTGAGGGCATTATCATTTGCAGAAGCCCGAGGTCTTCCATTAACTGCCCGACGAGGGCTTCTGCATATGATAATGCCCTCAAAAATAGCATTACCGTTATTATTGCTAAAATACATTTGTGAATTTGTGTTTAAAAGAAAAAGGAAACAATGAAGGAATTGAACAATTCAAGTGACGTCACAACAGAAAGTGACGATATTCGACCTTGGCCTTTGACAAGACCATAGCCTGCAACATGTCAAACTATGTCAGTGTTCTGTTTTGGTCCATCAACAGTCTTAATAGTGCAATTGTTAAGGTTAGCACCAACAAGAAAGCCAATATTACCGCTATTTAAAGCTTTTATGACTTGTTTGACCCACTATATCTGCCAGTCGAAAGCCAATTAATGTCGAATGAACCGTAAGCCCATGCACCCACTATGACGTCACTTGACAACAGAACTGATAGTGGCCCGTCGTTAAGGTTGAGCGGTCCAATATCATTTGCAGCGGCCCGCAAATTTCTGATAATGGGAGGGCCGTTTCATGATAATTCCATGTATTTTAGCTATAAATGTCGGTAGTCTGTTGATGATAGACATTAAATAATCCAGAGACTGGGCATGAGCATCGATCTACGCAATTCGGATGCGATGACATGTGTCAACCAAGACAGCGAGCCTGACTACCCGATCCCGTTAGTCGCCTCTTACGACAAGCATGGGTTGATGCATTCTCTTCCCACAGAGTTTACTTGTCATATCTTCCTACGAACCTCTGTTCTAATACGGCCCTTTCATGGTGCGAGTGTTCAGGATTCGTGATTGGTTGCAATCAGATTTAGTTGTGCAGTCAGCGACGTTGTTTCAAAAGTGATCATTCGCAAGGCCTCGGTAATTTCCGTATGCTTTGGGAAAACTAGAATCTCTTCCCTTGCGCTATGCGCAAACGTTTCTTCTAGACAGAACTCAGTCATGTAATGGCGGATCAATGGCGTCTCCATCGCCCTCGTTGACAACGGACAGCTAGCCATTGTATGTCTTGTGTGTCACATCAACACAAGTCCCCGGTAGATGAGGGATATTTGTGACCCCACATTTGCTTGTATTAGTCAAGTTGGATCTAAGTCGATGCAACACGTGTTCTGATTGGATAGAAAGAAGGGAGATAATTCGTGTTGCGATTTTTTGCCGCTAGGGGATTTTACGAGTACCGGGAAATATGACCGTATTAGAACAGAGGTTCGTATGAAGATATGACAAGTAACCTCTGTGGGAGGAGAATTTGGTTGCTGAAGACCAGTTCTAACCCGTATGTGGCTGTGGTGTGCCTAGAACATTACTGAATGTACTAAACAAACCTGATGGGGTAGAAATACTCTACAACTGGAATAGTCCTGGCTGTGCTGGTGTCAAACCATACCCCGGGGGCAGCGACCAACCTGTTCCTAAACCTCATTACTATTAGTAGGTTCCCCTCTATGGAACTTTGTTACTAAAATTCGCTTTTGTCTATATTGATTTTCTTGACATAATGTACTTATATTTTCGCCCATATTTTACTCTGATTTAGCAGCTTGCCAGGGTTTAAGACTTTTCTGATTTCCGTCAGTTGCATGCTTTTTTTCCATCTCATCAAGGTGACTGTTGGTTCGTGGCCGGAGCTGCCATCTTAGCGACCTCGCACCGGAAGCAGCTGGATCGGGTTGTACCACGTGACCAGGGCTTCGGAAATGAATATGCAGGTGAGCAAAATATAATCAGTTATCAAACGCGTATTGTGTGTCACATAACAGGGATCTTCCACTTTAGCGGCTGATAGTACGTAACACTAGTTTTTGACATTACAGGGATTTTCCAGTTTAATTTTTGGTGGTACATAACATAGTCTTTGACATTACAGGGATCTTCCTCTACTACTTTTGGTGGTACATAACATAGTCTTTGACATTACAGGGATCTTCCACTTCAACTTTTGGTGGTACATAACATAGTCTTGGACATTACACTGATCTTCCACTTCTACTTTTGGTGGTACATAACATAGTCGTTGACATTACAGGGATCTTCCACTTCAACTTTTGGTGGTACATAACATAGTCTTTGACATTACAGAGATCTTCCACTTCTACTTTTGCTTGTACATAACATAGTCTTTGACATTACACTGATCTTCCACTTCTACTTTTGGTGGTACATAACATAGTCTTTGACATTACAGGGATCTTCCACTTCAACTTTTGGTGGTACATAACATAGTCTTTGACAATACAGGGATTTTCCTCTTCTACTTTTGGTGGTACACAACATAGTCTTTGACATTACAGGGATTTTCCACTTTAACTTTTGGTGGTACATAACATAGTCTTTGACATTACAGGGATCTTCCACTTCTACTTCTGGTGGTACATAACATAGTCTTTGACATTACAGGGATCTTCCACTTCTACTTCTGGTGGTACATAACATAGTCTTTGACATTACAGTGATTTTCCACTTCACCTTTTGATGGTACATAACATAGTCTTTTACATTACAGGGATCTTCCTCTTCTACTTTTGGTTGTACATAACATAGTCTTTGACATTACAGGGATCTCCACTTCTACTTTTGGTGGTACATAACATAGTCTTTGACATCACAGGGATCTTCCACTTCTACTTTTGGTGGTACATAACATAGTCTTTGACATTACAGGGATCTTCCACTTCTACTTTTGGTGGTACATAACATAGTCTTTGACATTACAGAGACCTTCCACTTCTACTTTTGGTGGTACATAACACTAGTCTTTGACATTCCAGGGATCTTCCACTTCTACTTTTGGTGGTACATAACATAGTCTTTGACATTACATTGATCTTCCTCTTCTACTTTTGGTGGTACATATCATAGTCTTTGACATTACAGTGCTTTTCCACTTCTACTTTTGGTGGTACATAACATAGTCTTTGACATTACAGGGATCTTCCACCTCTACATTTGGTGGTACATAACACTAGTCTTTGACATTACAGTGATCTTCCTCTTCTACTAGTGGAGCGGCTAAGATCAATTTTTCATAAGAATTGTGCATTTGATGATAAAAGCACCAAAATCGGTCATCATATAAAAGAACATATCCGAAATACTTTCAGATATGGAGGCACCTCAAATTTTGTATTTTGTGCGCATGCGCAGTACATAAACTCCGACATACTATTTTCAGCGTTTCCCCTTCGATCTTTATTATTGCCATTCATTACACACCTATAATTTTCATAAAAAGTGATTTACAGGTTCATGAAAAGACAAAAAATACATAATTTTAGAATAATACAAAACATTTTGAAAAAATTAACACTCCCTCTTCCCAAAATGGCGGCTTGCAGACAACTTTTTGGACTATTGAACTCTTTGAGAAAATGTGTGCATGCTTGGGATTTATCTGATTACAAATGACTGAAAATAAGCATAATACGTGACAAAAGATATGCAGCACAATAAAAAAAGTCTTGGATATGTTTAACAATCAAAATCTATGTGATTATTCCCCAACTTCATGGCTCAAGGGCAAACAAGGGAGATACTTTAGATTGTCTTTCACAAGGGAGCAGTCATATTTTCCGGTACAAATCATACTTAATTGGTTTTATTGTTTAATGGTAAATATCAATTGACTAAGTGCAAACATTTATCCTGACTCATACTGATTGCTTATCTGATCTCATTTGCGAATAGTAGTGGAAAATCAAGTGCTTGTGTTCCCCTTCAATAGAAAAAAACACATCTCACCCCAACACATTCCAAGCTGCATATGTGCAGTGGACGCACTTGACCAAGCCTGTCACTCTTCATACTCACATAATAGTGCCAACAGGGTTAGAATCGTATCATGGAGGCCCAACATCAATCTACGATGATAAATACCAGCTAACTTGGATTGCAGACGGGTTACCCATAGCTTCCCCATCGAAGGATCGTCCTCCTTCACCTTACCACCAACTGGAGCAACTTTTTGCAAGTCATCAAGAACCAAAGCTACCAGAAAGCAGGGTCTTCCCGGCCTCACCATGTCCAGATCCATCAACAAGGCGATGACATCACACTTCAAAGATCCACAGTCCGACAAAGAACGTATGCTTTTGTCCATGGTCATCCAGGAGAAGTACCAGAAGTCTATCTCCGACCAGATCTGCTCAGCATCGGCGGGACTCACCTTGCTACATAGACAAGGAAGTATTGGCCAAAGTGGGACCTTCTGGAAGACCCATTCATCACACAAATCTTAAGGAATAGATATACCATCCAGTGAACACGACGCCACCGCTCCACTCTATCTTCCGCAGATACATTACGCAGAAACCCTACAACCAAGGATCACAGATGCGATAGAGTCACTTCTATCCAAAGAAGCAATAAACCTCAAGAGGCACTCGACCCAGGGTTCTGCTCCCCAATTTTCTTAGTCCAGACTAATATGAAGACGTTCAACAATGATTACTTATTGAAGACAGAGAAGTTCGGAATTCTCTACCTTCTACAGCTGAAGCAGATGATAAGACAAACAACTTTCTGGCAAGCATGGATTTAAGGGATGCATATCTGCATATACCAATCCACCCAGGGTCCAGGAAGTATCTACGATTCCTGTTCAACCATAAAAAAAACAGTGGAGGGCAATTTCATGGCCCGTGCTTATATACATGGGTAACCAAGCCTATCGTGAGCTTGCTTCAACCTTCCTTCAGGGTAATTTGATGCACCTTCTACCTAGACAATGGCATTAAATCACTTCAACAAGCCGTTAAACTCAAACGTCTTTTGAATTACACACTACGATTGCTGCCCAACGTCATCCCAATCACTCACGAAGAGGGGCAGACTGCAACTACGACCCATCCAGAGGTAACTAGCCTGACTGCTGGTCCAGCAGGACTTCAGACCAAACCTACCACATCACCTACCAGAGTATTTCCAATGGTGGACGATGAAATCAAAGGTTTGCGCAAGGACCTTCTGGGCGAGCTAAGCTTCAACCTGCATCTGTGAGTAGACGCGTCTCTACAGGATTGGGGAGCACACCTCGACACAGAGGTAACCTCAGGGCTGTGGTCTCCAGAAGAAAAGCTACTTCATATCAATCACCGAGGTTAGGCAGTTATTCGAGCCATTAACCACTGGGCCCCTCGACTGTCCAATCATTCATTGAAGACCAGGACAGCCAACTCATCCAGCTAGCAGGCAATCCAGTTCTAAAACTTCCAGATTGGTCAAACCTTCTCACTAATCCTCACATGAAGCAGCAGCATCAAAATCCGAGTGCCTTTGATCTGCACGCATGGAGCATATCAAGAAGAACTTTATCAGGTGGCGGCTATTCCAGCAGAGCAGAATTCTTTCGGTCTTTATGCAGATCTACCTGAAGCCTGTATGATGATAAGTGGAAGAGTCTTGACTAATTTGCCAGCAGTAAGGGGATTTCAGCAGATATACAACCTCAGAACCTCAAAGAATCTCAAGACTGGGCTCTTAGCACCCATCAGTTCTGTCATCAACATGGTGAAGGCTCTAAAGTCACTCAGAATTCCATTCTATAGACCTCAGCCTCACCAGATTTGATAAAGGTCCCAATACTTCCGTGCATCTTGGCCTCCGTTTGGATTTTATTGCCAAAATCAGCCAGACGGACAGTTTCATATCCCACTATTATCTTCAATAGAACGAGCATCAGACGTCAGAAGTTAAGATGACTCTTCATCCCGCTCATGAGAGATGTCACAGCAGAAGTATCCAAAACAACTACATATCCTTCTGGATGAGATCGGTAATACTTCCAGCACAGAGATGTAGGCTTAGAACCTCCCTCAGCTTCAAACCCACACGAAGTAAGAGCACTATATGGCAACTGCTCCTTCCCTGCCATCATGGAAGGATGCTTTGGGAATATTTTTCTTTTTATGTTCAATTACTTTTTTTGAGATTATTTGCGAAGAAAAATTCAATTCATGCCATCCCATCAACACATGTACAGCATGTCAAAAGGGCAGCTTACCAGGCAGGTCATGTGTGTGGTCAGTCATTCTTCCACAGCCTGAACTCCCATCTCCAAGTGAGTGATACAGAAGGAAAGTGGACAGTATGTTCCCTACTGGACGACACTACACCAGAATCTTGTCAGGAGTTGGTATCGTGTCAGTACAAAGGGATGTAACAACCGAAGCAAGTGCAAACAGTCCTCACTTACATGCACTGGTGCGAGAGCCAGTGTTCATAACATTGATTCAGCTATGTTTTCAAGATGTTTAAAGAGTATTTTGGGTCAGTATATTTAGAAAAAATCGTCCCATTATTGTACTGTGGCAGGCCCAAAGCTATTACGGGATCCAGAAAAGGCAAAATATTATTTGTCTACTGCGCATGCGCAAATTGAAATATTTTGAGTGCCTCCATATCCTAAAATGTTCACTATGTATCAATCTATAAATGTGCAAAGTGTCATGCTTTTATCATTAAATGCACATTTTATCTGCTTAGCCGCTCCACTATACTCCTGGTGGTACATATCATAGTCTTGGACATTACACTGATCTTCCACTTTAACCTTTGGTGGTACATAACATAGTCTTTGACATTACAGTGATCTTCCACTTCTATTTTTGGTGGTACATAACATAGTCTTTGACATTGCAGGGATTTTCCACTTCTACTTTTGGTGGTACATAACATAGTCTTTGACATTACAGGGATCTTCCACTTCTACTTTTGGTGGTACATAACATAGTCTTTGACATTACAGGGATTTTCCACTTCTACTTTTGATGGTACATTACATAGTCTTTGACATTACAGAGATCTTCCTCTTCTACTTTTGGTGGTACATAACATAGTCTTTGACATTACAGGGATCTTCCTCTTCTACTTTTGGTGGTACATAACATAGTCTTTGACATTACAGAGATCTTCCACTTCTACTTTTGGTGGTACATAAAACTAGTCTTTGACATGTCAGAGATTTTCCACTTCTTCTTTTGGTGGTACATAACCCTAGTCTTTGACATTACAGGGATTTTCCATTTCTACTTTTGGTGGTACATAACATAATCTTTGACATTACAGGCATTTTCCTCTTCTACTTTTGGTGGTACATAACATAGTCTTTGACATTACAGGGATCTTCCACTTCTACTTCTGGTGGTACATAACATAGTCTTTGACATTACAGGGATCTTCCACTTCTACTTCTGGTGGTACATAACATAGTCTTTGACATTACAGGGATCTTCCACTTCTACTTCTGGTGGTACATAACATAGTCTTTGACATTACAGGGATCTTCCACTTCTACTTCTGGTGGTACATAACATAGTCTTTGACATTACAGGGATCTTCCACTTCTACTTCTGGTGGTACATAACATAGTCTTTGACATTACAGGGATCTTCCACTTCTACTTCTGGTGGTACATAACATAGTCTTTGACATTACAGGGATCTTCCACTTCTACTTCTGGTGGTACATAACATAGTCTTTGACATTACAGGGATCTTCCACTTCTACGTCTGGTGGTACATAACATAGTCTTTGACATTACACTGATCTTCCACTTCAACTGTTGGTGGTACATAACATAGTCTTTGACATTACAGGGATCTTCCACTTCTACTTCTGGTGGTACATAACATAGTCTTTGACATTATAGGGATCTTCCACTTCTACTTCTGGTGGTACATAACATAGTCTTTGACATTACAGGGATCTTCCACTTCTACTTCTGGTGGTACGGGGAGTATAAGGAAATCATCATCGACGACTACCTCCCAACCAACGGCCACGGCCTCATCTTCTGCCACAACAGGGAACGCACCAACGAGTTCTGGTCCGCCCTCATGGAGAAGGCCTACGCCAAGTAAGTCATCTGCAGGTTCTGCCATCATTCCGGTCTTCATACCCGATGGGGTGGGACGGTGGGGGTGTGGTAGTCTGGTTGAAGGATTCGCTCGTCAATCTGTCAAACCGATTTCTCGTGTCCCCTGGTATTCATTACTGGCATAATGCTAGAAGTTGTGTCAACCCTCACTCTCCTAATATCAGATAGGACACATTGGATAAGTTAATACATGTTGCTTTACCCCGCAGTCAGTATATATCAAATATACACAAAGAACTTAGTTAAGCACCCCCTGACATATCTCACGATTGAATGAGCCCCGGCCTTAACCCTTTGGAGCATATCTGGAACATGATTGGTCGTCGTGTGCAGCAAAGGGATCCTCCTGTACAGAACCTGGCCCAATTTTTCACACGAAAAATATTGTAGACTACTCCTTCAGAAGATCAGGAGGCTGACAGGTGGTATGGGAGGGTGCTGGCGGCCATACAGTCACATGGAGGCTACACTCGGTATTGACCTTGAATCGTGTAAGACACGCAAAATGACATTTTAAATGTTCACATTCACTAATAAATTCAACATTAAACATTCCACGACCATACTTGTACAGATATGGTTTTGTATGAAAGTCAGTGTGTTTTTTTTAAATGGGGAACTATCATCATAAAATCAACATGGATTCCAATCATTTTGTCGTTTTGTCAAAGGATCATATGGATCAGAAAAACTCATGTTATTTTCATTCCAAAAATACAGGGGGTGCTAAGTTAAGTTCTTTGTGTATATATCGTCGTTGCAAGTAAATAGTCGAGTCTGGATCGAGCAAACCAGTAGCTGTAACACACACAGACCCCTTCCCCCGGCATCAACACACGTGACACCGGGTGTCATTACTCACCTTCATTCAAACTGTCTTTTACGTTTGTCTTTAGACTTGCACAAGTCTCTAATGTAATAGTTTATAGTTTAAATGGAAATTTCTGAAAACATATAAATAACAGACTAGCGTCCTGTACTGTCCACGTATCTAGACTTGCCTATCAAAAGGATAGAATTACTATACATCCATGGGCTTAGCATTCTGCACAGCCTTGGAGCAAGGCTAATTTGTCTTGTACTTGGGTAAACGAGTGTGTGAGTGAGTATGGTTTTACGCCGCTCTTAGCAATATTCCAGCAATGTCACGGCGGGGAACACCAGAAATGAGCTTCACACATTATACCCATATGGGGAATCCAACCCGGGTCTTCGGCGTGACGAGCCAACGCTCTAACCACAAGGCTACCCCACCGTCCCCTTGGGTAAATGAGCAGTTTCCGAGTACTATTCATATTCCCCCAAAATGGTTGACAAGTCGCGATTTGCGTTTCGTATGCTTTTCAGAATTCTGTGTTTGAATCCCATGTCGACTTCACTGTCAGCACTAAACCCGTGGGATTCAAAAAGTTATATCATTTTTATGTACGCTATATAAGTTATATAAGATGGTAAGCCGTGTAATATCTAAAACACGGATAGAAGCGTCGTTAAATCCAATTCAACTCACTCTCTCACGATATCCGACCGCCTCCGTGGTGTAGTGGTTGGAGCGTCCGTCCGCCCGGAGAGCGGAAGGTCGCGGGTTCGATCCCCGACCGCGTCATACCAAAAAGACGTTAAAATATGGTACTTGTTGGTCCCTGCCTGGCGTTCGGCGTTAATGGGTACAACAAGGACTGGTCGGCTCGGAGTCAGTATAATGTGTCTGAGTGGGGTATTCATGCTTCACTGCGGCATGGTATCTCAGTGGGCTAGCACTATAAAACCAGCTTCAGTCTGGGCTAGTACAAGCAGCCGCACATACACATACACACGCATGCACGTCGTCATATGAGCGAAATATTCTCAAGCACGACGTAAAACCCAATTTCACCTCACCTCACCTCTCACGATATCCATGACAGTACTATACATTGTATCTGTAGTCCGTTTCCCAGGCCATACAGAAATATATTAAAAGATGAGTGGAACTCAAGCCTAGAATGATAAAATAAGTCCAGACTGCCGCAGAGCCAGGAATTTAGATTAATGTTTGTTATCTAACGCCACACTCAGCAATATTCCAGCTATGGCCGCAGTCTGTGAATAATCGAGTCTGGACCAGACAATCCAGTGAAGAACATCATCAGCATGTACGCAACTGGTGTACGATGACATGTGTCAACCAAGTCAGCGAGCCTGGCGACCCGATCCCGTTAGTCGCCTTTTACGAGGAGCATAGTTTCCGAAGACCAATTCTAACCCGGATCTTCACGGGTGAAAGGGACCTAGAATTGAGTTCCTGATTAGTTTTTGGAGTATCTTTAGGAGTAGATTTATTTTTAACTTACAAAATGTTATTTCTGGGACTCAATGTCTGTCTGGATTGTCAGACTCAGGGGCAGCTATGAGGCTCTGGACGGGGGGAAGCTGCAAGACGCACTGGTGGATTTTACTGGAGGAATATCTGAGGCCGTCGACATCCGGGACAAGGGGAAAATAGCGAAGAATATATTTGAGATGCTCTTCAACTCCTTCAAGATGAACTCGATGATTGGAGGAAGCATATTCGTAAGTATTAATTTGTATTTTTACACTCAACACTGGTGCTCCTCTTTCAGTTTTCATCATCATCATCACCATCACCTTCATCGTTATCATCATCATCATCATCACCACCGCCATCATCATCATCATCATCATTATCATCATCGTCGTGAAATGAAATGACGTGAAAAGATGGTACAACTTGGCTTTGACATAAAAGGGATATTAAAAGGACCTTTAGTCTCAGAGTCAGTATACTGTTTCTGAGCCACGTGTCCTTGTTGAACTGCGGCACGGTATCTCATTTGACTGGCACCATGTCGGTAATAATGATTGAACCGACCACCTACATGAACACGATGTGCTTTCACGGTACTATACATCTGCGATCTTTGTAACGTGAAGTTAAACTCTATGTAACCGCCTCACCTCTTTTCTCATCCATCATTACCATCATGATTATTGTTATTCGTGGGGAAGATGGGCATCGGATATTATGTTATTACTAGCATTAAATTGTGTGATGCAGATATTCAACTGACGGTCAAAAAGAAAGTACACACCTGATTCTTTTGTAAAATATTTCCTTTAAAACAGCATTAATATTTAAAAAGTGTTTTGATTCTGTCACAAACATTGTGCAAGTGTTTCCAAAACACCACAGGTATTGTACCCATTTACAACATTGCTAGCAAAATATGTATGGTTTTAATGGGAACAGTCCCAAAACACCAGGTGTGTACTTTCTTATTAACGTCAGTATATGTATCATTTACTAACATATAGGGACTTAGAAAAAGGTACACGCCAAGGGTTTGGGATTATTTTCCTAAAATATACCGTAAATGCTTTAAAATATGTATTAATTGTGACATAAGATTATACACATTGTGTACGTGTTGACAAAGCGCCATGTGTACTTTCTTTTGTAAGTCAGTTTAGTTGGCTCGGGCGTGGTGGGGATCAACAGTGGAGAATGTTAAAGGCACAATGTCACACCACATTTCTCTAAAAATACATAATGCTATTCTCTGAATAATACTATCAGCCCTCAGGGAAGCTACTATATAATTTATTCATTTTTTCTTTACCTATTTAGGTTACAATATTAAATTTGAAAAGTTGCATTAAATCGACTCTCGCCCTCTACAGGCCGGACATTATTTCAAACGAACCCCATAGAGTTATGTCCCTTGGAGCGCTCTTTACGAATATCCTACGCACAACTTGTGATTGAAACCAGTTCGGCAAACACTGACAACACCACGTGCGACATTTTCAGATGTACGGAACAATTCTTTACATTCCATATATGGCAAGCGTTATCTGTTTGGAAGCAGTTCGCCTCGAAGTTTCAATTACGACTTCAGACAAGTCGTAATTGACAATACGTCTTTTATTGCATCAATAGGAAAGTGAGGGCATATGCCCCCAATATATAAAATATAGGCCAAAAAATTGTCGAAAATATGTGACATTGTGCCTTTAACTTGACTTTACAACACTGTTGAGCCTGTATCATCAATTTGATGACATCAAGTGGGTGATGGTGGATGAGTTGTCCTTAGGTCCATGTCAGAGAGATGCATTCTGATGCCTGAAGCATGTGCAGCTGGGTTCACTCACATTGTGTCTACATGACATTCTGCCTACAGTCCTGAAACATATATAGGGAGTTGCACATTGGCAATGGCAAGTGAAAACAGTCATCATCCCCATGTCTACATGGTCTGATCCAATTAAGTAACAGATAAAAAGAACAACATTCAGAGTTCATCATTTATTAAGATGATAATAATAGCATCAAACGTAGCATTATTTAAAGACACTTTTCATATCCATCATCTCTACACAAAATATAGTTCATTAAAGATCGCGCTTGAGGAGATGGCTTGCAGCATCGAGGACCTGTAGCTTGGGTTCGCGACCTTCTAACAAGTGCAATATGGAACAAGTTTTTATGGATAACAACTTCTTTATTTCGTGAGTGTGACGTTCCGATACAGATTCCTGTACCGTTGTCAAGCAAGAGTGAATATTACGTCGCACTCACAAAATAAAGAAGTTGTTCTAAAAATGCCACTCAAACAACTTCTAACAAGTGGTTCATAAGTCTCTGCAGCCGACAGTCAATTTCTCTATATATCCGTTTTCTGTGCACTGGAGCTGCACCAAGATCTAGTTGGGCTCTTTTCTTTCTGTTAGCATCCTCAATGCCTTGTAGATGACAGATGAATTCAAAGACATCGTGATGTGCTTTTCTCAGTGATTTGTTTAATTGAGACGGTTTCTTAACTTGCTCGTGAAGCGAAGACTCTCAGCATCTTCAATCTTGGGGTGACTGTACGGGGATGCATTTCTCACATAGTCATGATGGCAAGGCGACCTTTACAGTTAGATAGGAAGCATTTCCAGTGTGTGGCAGAGAGCGTGCTGACCTCCGGTCTGAGAAGAAATATACTCTACTCTCTGAAGCTCTACCATTGTACAGTTTAAGTGAGAAACAGTATCTAACTCTCTATCAAATTCTATATAAAGGACTTTATTCCTTTCGTTTTGACAGTACAGCTCCATAAGCCCAGAGGCCAGTTGTAGCTTGGTAAAATGTGTTTATTTAGTCTATTCCTAATCAACTAAGTAAAACAACATTCTTAAAACGACTGTGTATTTAGTCTATTCTTAATCAGTGTTGGATTAGACAGAGTCTACTGTATATGTTTTGGCCTGGTTTCTGGACTGGTCTATTTGTCGTTATTGGGTGATGAAGGGTGTTATTATTTGTCAAAGTGCCTACACATGCAGAACCTACAGACTGTAATATGTTGTTTTAAGACAGTAGGCAGAAGGGCATGTAGGCACACTGTGAGGACACCGTAGTATTGACTTGGATCGATGAGGATGACAGCTTATGCTGCATGTAACGGTAGCACAGAGACACTGCAACAGTAACATAAACCGTTCTTACACACTGTATGCTTTTATAGTACCGGTCATTGCGTGGAGCAAGGTATATATACAGTAGCTTGTAATCTAACTATATATTTGCTTTATTTATATACAGCTCGTGTCTGTAAAGACTGGATTGTTGGTGTGTTGTTTTACGCCGCACTCAGCAATATTCCGGCTATATGGCGGCGGTCTAAATAATCGAGTCTGGACCACACAATCCAGTGATCAACAGCATGAGCATCGATCTATGCAACTGGGATACGATGACATGTTTTGTATATAAATGAGACTTCCTACATGTCTCGTGTTGTTTAATTGTTCAGAGCATGGGCCCAGTTGCTCCGGTTGGCTGTGCCGAGTTGCACATAATCAATTAAAAACATCGGTATATATCACATTCTAATGTACTGCGCCATAATTCACCGGGGTGTTCCTACATCGTACACACACACTCAATACTCCTCACTGTTAAACAGGGGGCAGTGGGGTAGCCTAGTGGTTAAAGCGTTGGCTCGTCACGCCGAAGACCCGGGTTCGATTCCTCACATGGGTACAATGTGTGAAGCCCATTTCTGGTGTCCCCCCGCCGTGATATTGCTGGAATATTGCTAAAAGTGGCGTAAAACTAAACTCACTCATTCACCCATACAATAGGGCTGGGTGGATGGGAAGACCCCGATAACAGAAGTAAAAAAATGATAATTATCTCAATGGCACAATCAATGGTGTTTAATAAATGACCGAATGCTTGTTTTAATTTCAGACTCATACTCTGCCAATAGGGGTGATTCTTTTTATATGTTTGTTGTTAAAATTCCCGATTTAAAAATTGTTATATTTTAAGTTATATTTTATGCGATCCAACATTGAAGATTAATTGTACGTTCACAGTGAGTATGAAATATTTCATACACACTCGTGGAAACATGAAAAAAAAGTCAGTTAAGGAGGCAATCCAAATCCAAATGTTTACCATTTTCAGGTACAATGTTACTTCTTCATATAAACTTTATTCATGCTTGTTATTATCTCTGCTTGATATAACGCAACTCAATACACATCTCTATTATGTTGAACTGTGTCGTTTAGGAATTGTTAAAGTGATATCATAAACCAGTTATACAGACGGATCATATTTAAATATGTAAGAACGATTCGATTATGTTTTTAATCAGAAATCAGTATTGGTATATACGAGAGTGGAACAGTTTCTTGATGACTTCCCCAGCTGATTATTTTACCGATCTAATGTTTGTACTGATATAATTTTTGGAAAGAAAACAAACAAAAACACAGTCTATGTGGGCCAGGTGATATATTGTAACATTTGTCTTTTATCTTTTTTCTCGTTTGTGCTTGTAAGATACAGAGGATGTTGTCAAACATAAGACATGAAATGCAATACCTACAGTGCTCAGTTACCGAGCGGGAATCTGGAGGACAGCGGTTTCCCAGTATCCACTGTGAAAACAGCATCCGAACGTCACACTCTGTGACGTCATTCAGTGGTTAATCATCCCCGACCAGTCCTTCCTGGATTCCGCGATTCCGCGGTTGCAGAATAAATCGCGGAAATTACCTTTTGATGTAGAAAAACGTATGGTCCGCGGAAAACGCATTTTCATGCAGAATACCTGCAGAATTTACCATTTTTCTGCCGCGGAATTAATTATTTTGAAAGCTGAATCAAAATTGACTATCAACCGAAACGAAAAGTAGGGGTAAATGTCAAAAGTATGATTGGTTACACAAAAACGAACGGAGACATTTGTTATAACGATAATTTCAAAATATTCACGAATAAAGATGATTTATTCATAAGGTGATATTTTCTTCAGCACCTTACAATAATATTATTTGAATTTGTCACTGCACTTATGTTCGCAAAATCGATCTTTCCGAAGGTTGAAATTGCATTAATTAGTTGTTTTTTTCAAGTTTTTATCTGCATAAGTTTTTTTGCCGAATTTTGAAAAATGGGATGCAGAATTTACTCAAATTTGCCGTGGAATTCTTAAAAATTCGTCGCTGAATCCAAGAGGAACTTCGTGACACGATATACTTGGGATGTTGGAGTCTCGCTCATTAAACAACATTCACTTTATGACTTAACTATGTGCTGTGGTCTATATTCTTTGGATGCGACATTTCAGCACAGATACTACTTGCTTCCTTGATTAGACACTCTTTGGTTAAACATACCAGGCTAGCTATTCTCGAAACGTTCGTAGTCCTACGAATTTCTTAAGCTCATTCTTAACACATTGGCTACGATCAAAGTTTAGAATTTTTAGGGCTACGAACGTTTCGAGAATAAGGGCCCAGGGTTCGATCCAGAAAGCGTTCGTAACGTTACGACCTATCGTAACTTTATAGTTTGTCATAGACTTATGAATGTCGTTGCGCTACGAACGTTTTGTGGATTGGGACGCAACATCTGTAACGTTGAACTGACGGCATATTCTCAATCACTGAACTTACAGAATGTAAATTGTCACTTTAAAGTAACGTAAAGCATCCACTCACGAACTCGACATCCTCAGTTGGTACCAGAACAAATGCCCTGCCAGGTGTTTACTCTCGTCTTCTATTTCTTTCAAACATAATATCGTGTGTTGCTTGTATCAGTCTAAACAACAACTGATTTACAGATTATGTTTCATTTTCACTTTATAAATTTCTCTGTCCAGTCGAATATTTTCTAAGATATAGTGTAATGTATTTTTCCTGATGAAATAGTTTCTAAGATATAGTGGAATGTATTTTTCCTGATGAAATAGTTTCTAAGATATAGTGGAATGTATTTTTCCTGATGAAATAATTTCTAAGATATAGTGTACTGTATTTTTCCTGATGAAATAGTTTCTAAGATAAAGTGTAATGTATTTTTCCTGATGAAATATTTTCTAAGATATCGTGTAATGTATTTTTCTGTTCGTGTCAGTTGTAGCAAGAGGTGTGACGCATTTCTGTTTGTTTTTGTTTACTCTTTTGATATTATCTATTGGGTCCAATAAGTGTGTGCTGCTTCTTGCTTTGTGTATACTGCATTCTTGACACTAACTCTTCAACGCAAATAAATGTATAGCATTCTGATTTGTTTTACCTTAGAGACCCGTGATGATCCGGGTTAGAATATTGATCTTCAGCAACCCATGCTTGTCGTAAGAGGCGACTAACGGGATCGGGTGGTCAGGCTCGCTGACTTGGTTGACACATGTCATCAATTCCCAATTGCGTAGATCGATGCTCATGCTGTTGATCACTGGATTGTCTGGTCTAGACTCGATTATTTACATACCGCCACTATATAGCTGGAATATTGCTGAGTGCGGCGTAAAACTAAACTCACTCACTCACTGTTTTACCTTCAAAAAAATTCGCCAATTCAGTTCGCAATAATTTCATTCATATGTGAATATATGGTCGTGTTAATTTCTGTCGAAGGGATGTTTTTTCCCGATGTTATGTACAACACTTATCTTTCGCTCTGGACAGTGGAATATATCGGTTCAGGAGTAATAATCCTAAATGTACTCTACAAGACAGTTGGAGCTGAAACTCTTCCACAGATATTCTCTTCTAACTGTCTACTCTCGTGTAAAGTTACATTGTTGTGCATGTTAATATCAGCTGTCATTGAATAACGGCACAAGTAGCTATACGGTACAAGTAACGGTAAATAGCTAATTTATCGTCGGAGCTGAGATGCCTTGGATCAGTTGGTTTCCTGTTTCTTCCAGCGTCCACCCAATGCAACAACACCAGAAGTGCGCCTGTACAACGGTCTGTACATGGGACATGCGTACAGCATAACAGGATTCACTCAGGTGAGTACAGTATTACAAGCTTCCAGCAGGTTTGCGTACAACATAACACGTGCATTCAGTACAGCAATATTTTCGTTGGTAAATATATAAGACGAGTATTGCTGGAATATTGCTGGAATATTGTTAAAGGCGGCGTAAAACCATACTCACTCACTCATTCTGAACCTTTGTTTGACATCTCCAGTGCTCGCTAAAACGATTGAATCGTGTTATTGAATTTTACACCATATTTTAAAACGTAGCACAAGAACCCAACCAACCCATTTTAACAGCCCTCGCTTCAACCTGACCTTCCAGATATCCTTTCAAGGTCGTGTTTGTCGCTTGCTCCGGCTCCGGAATCCCTGGGGAAGGAAAGAGTGGAATGGCTCTTGGTCAGACAGGTAGGTGGACATTCAGGTCGTCCATGTGGTCAGACAGGTAGGACGACAGGTCAGACATGGGTTACTGATAATCAATTCTAAGGCGGCTCTTACCCCGGTAAGATGTAAGGATGAGTTTATATATTGAAAAGATTGCTTCAAATGATTCCGGACTATCATGATGTCACAAATATTGCTTCAAATGATTCCGGACTATCATGATGTCACAAATATTGCTTCAAATGATTCCGGACTATCATGATGTCACAAATATTGCTTCAAATGATTCCGGACTATCATGATGTCAACCACTATGATATTACTAAACACTAAAGTGATTATTACACTAATTCGTTCATTGTTCAAGGTCTCGAGAAATGGCGTCTGTATCCGAAGAAATCAAGAATGATCTTCGTTTTCGGGCAAGGGAGGATGGCGAATTCTGGTACGTACGAGTTACCTCCCTTTAACATATTGGCCTCCGCACCTACTCAATGTACTCAAATATACACATAATGTATTTTTGGGTTTAAATTTAAATGTATACATTGTTCTAATCATGCTGATGTACTCGGGAGCTTTGTGATAAGCTAGTGTGGTAGAGGCACCTGGCTAGTATTGATAGGAATCTTGCTGGATGAAACATCTTCAGACCTTCCTCATTCACCAACAACCAACTCACTGATCCGCCGAGAGAATATTGCTGAATTTGGTACCATTTTCTAACTCTGTCCCCAGCCATGCAAGTTGATAATGGTCATTTTCCACGTGTTCTAGGATTTCAATAGAGGATTTCCTGGCCAACTTTGACGAAATCCAGCTCTGTCACCTGCAGCCTGATGCTCTCACTGACGAGGTCGCCATTGACGAAGTGAGTTAGACCTGGTTGTAGCCATTTATTGTGACTGGCATTTGTAGGCTTAAAGAGACTCATGAATTAATACTGTTTGGATGTCTCATCCTGATACCGCCATTGCCTGTCTGACTTCTGCATCTCCATTACAATGCTGACCTGTGTTTCAATATTGCCTGGCTGACCTTTGTACCGCCATTTACTGTGACCATCATTTGACGGGTGAGTTCTCCAGTGCAATGTAGAGTCAAGGAGACTAATGAATTATTACTTTTTGGATGTCTGACCACAGGCAAACTGTAGCGCAATATAGTGTAACAGAGAAAAATGACCAATCTTCCCATATGCGAGTGAAATGAGCAAAGATTGGCAACCTACTTCCCTCGCTTCGGTTCGAAAAATATTGGTAATGTCATAATAAAATATTGCCATTATCAAAGGTAAACACCAATTTCTTCTCAGGGTTATGCTCTCAGATTTCCAATCTCATATTAATTAATTACTCACGTAAATATATTTCATTCAACGTTTTAAGTGCCCCTCGTGGCATATCGTTGTTCGCCTCCATTACCCCTGCCAGCTTCCGGTTCAAGGCGTGAAGGGGCAGCGGAGGTAACTCTAAATATACTTGTTGAATCACATGGCGGTCATATGGAAAGTTCGCAGATGACCCCCCCCAAAAAAAAACCACTTGCGGAGTTACCTCCCTTGCTTTTATTCACCCGCTACGTCAGCAGTGTTTTATTTAGAATACATGTTACGAAATTTCTAGCAATAACGACGGCAGATATGATAAATAATCTTCAACAGTTTAATGGTAAAATAAGGCAATATGGTATATCTATTCAATTTCTGCTTATTCTTGTTCCTTCCCTCCGTTGAACCGGAAGCTGGCAGGGGTAATGGAGGCGAAGAACGATTTGATATGCCACGAGTGGCGCTTAAAATGTTGAATGACATATATTTTACGTAAGTAATTATTAAATATGAGATTAGATATCTGAGAGCACAACACTGTGAGGAAATGGATGTTTACATTTAATGGTGGCGATGTTTTATTTTTCGAACTGAAGCGTGGGAAGTGCGTTGCCAACCTTTGCACGTTCGCTCGCATATAGGAAGACTGGTACTTTTCCTCTCTGCATCATGATTGCCTGTCTGGCCTCTATACCGTCATTTATTGTGACCATCATCTGTAGGATGAGATCTTCAAAGCAATATAGACTCAGGGATGTCTGTGTGTTTTGGATGTCCGAGTGTGACCTTTTATCACCATTCCCTGTCTGACCTCTGTGTCACCATTGTCTGTCTGACCTCTGTGTCACCATTGTCTGTCTAACCTCTGTGTCACCATTGCCTGTCTAACCTCTGTGTCACCATTGTCTGTCTGACCTCTGTGTCACCATTGTCTGTCTAACCTCTGTGTCACCATTGCCTGTCTGACCTCTGTGTCACCATTGCCTGTCTGACCTCTGTGTCATCATTGTCTGTCTAACCTCTGTGTCACCATTGCCTGTCTAACCTCTGTGTCACCATTGTCTGTCTGACCTCTGCGCCGCCATTACCGTCTGACCTCTGCGCCGCCATTACCGTCTGACCTCTGTCACCTTCACCTGTTTGACTTCTGTGCCGCCATTACCTTACCACCTATGTTCCAGAACAAGAATCACTGGAACGTGACGCTGTACCATGATTCATGGATCAGGGGCGTGACGGCTGGAGGGTGTGGCAACCCTCCCAATCAGAGTAAGTAAACTTGTTTGTCGGTCAGTGTGTGGATATAATGGCTATTTATTCCCCCTCACGCAAGCCTGATGTCTGTGTCCGTACATTCACTGTCATGGTCAATATAAACTTAAGTCCAAAAGAAACTTGGCTGCCGATTTGAAGATCAATACCGAAAAAACAACAAAACATAATTGATGAACATAAACGGTTTTGTAAACACCAATATGTGTTGAAACCTTGTGCAAACAGTCATATCAATGAACAATGAATTAAATATGGCTGTATAAGCTACATTGTAAACACATGCGCTATCATGTATTGTGTACAGATCTGTACTGGAAGAATCCGCAGTTTTTCGTGACTCTCCGTGAGTTTGACGACCGTCTTACGGACAACGACTGCACACTCATCGTGTCTCTCATGGAGAAGGAGAAGGGAGGGGATGTCTCAAAAACAGCAATAGGATTTGATGTCTACAAGGTAGGTATGGCATGTCACGATGAGCGAATGAGTGGGTTGGTTTTGGGTAAGTGAGTGAGTGAGTGAGTGTGTCTGTTCTGAGCACTGTTTCAGTTTATAACGGCTTCTGTGAGCAGAGTTGGGTTTTACGCCGCTTTTAGCAACATCCCAGCAATATTACGGCGGAGGACACCAGAAATGGGCTTCACACATTGTACCCATGTGGGGAATCGAACCGGGATCTTCGACGTGTCGAGCGAACGCTTTAACCACTAGGCTACCCCACCGCCCTATAACGGCTTGATGGAAATTATTCACACTTCCAGTGAGTGATCTGGGTTTTAGGATGCTTTGAAATATATTCCGGTTGTACGGAGTGCCAGCTTGGTGTAGGATGAAGACCGAAATGATGCAGATCTCAGATGTTTACCGCGTGAGTGAAACCCTTGATCTCGGTATGGTATAAATAGGGCCGAAACGGGATTCAAATCGATAGTCATGGGTTTGTGGTCTGCCCAAGGGATGCAGATCTCTCCCGCACCAAACACTTCCGATCTATGACAACACGGGAACTGTGCTGAACAGTCTCCATTGCTATATGCGCTACCAGGGCATAGCTCAACTGCAGGATTCGAACCCGAATTTACAGCGTGAATGTAGAATACTAGGTTAAAAAGAGACGCTGGTTTTGACTTTTAACATTTCCGCAAAAGGTACTAGCGCTGACTTAATGCTATGACACCTAATATGTTTTGGATCGCAAATCTGATATTTACTCGTGTATACTCACACGGCCAAGGGGCGCTACTCTGTGGATTACAAGGTCTTGCAACACAGGTTGTCCTCCTTTGGTTTATTTCAATGCACGTAATTTTTTCATTAAATTTTTTTTCAGTTAAATATCCCGGACTTCCGTCCGCTGGACGGACAGAGGGCGCCCCGCAATGCTCTACTGTTGACGAAACGCTCAGGGTCCTACCAGTATTACCGAGAAGTCTGTCGTCGATTTGAGTTGCCTCCAGGGAATTATGTCGTAATCCCGAGCACGTTCGAGCCCCACGAGGAAAGAGACTTCCTGCTTCGGCTGTTTACGGAAAAAAAGGCAGAAAGCGGGTATGGTGCAATTACCTGACATCCATTGACTACATTCTCAACCTTCGTACAGAAATATAGTTTCGAAATTTTTCTTAACATTTTTCAGCCCGAAGTAGTAATCGAGGAGTGTGTTTTACTAAAACAACTCTGGACATGATTGTTGTAAATCAAAGGTTGTAAATCACAATGATATGCTTCTGATCAAAGTGGCCAAGATATTTACCACCTACGAATTGGTGTTATCAAACTGAAAAGCAGGAACTGTAGATAGTTTATCACAATGTACTATGGTCAGGTTTCGAGCCTTTCACAGATATCTCAGCGAGAATATTGGCCGTTACCTTCCTGTTAATACGATGTAGGGTGAACCTATTCATAATAAATATTCCATTTTCTTTCAGAGTTATGGACGAGGATCCCGGGCCGGCAACTGTAAGACATATTGACCCCACTCTTTCATTTCACTAGCCTTGAAAGAATAAGCCAAACATATACAAGTGATGTATCTTTGACAAGTTATTCCGTGGCCTTGTCCCCTGTGAAGATCCGGGTTAGAATTGGCCTTCGGCAAGCCATGCTTGTCGTCAGAGGTGTCTAACGGGATCGGGTGGTCAGGCTCGCTGACTGGGTTGACACATGTCATCGAATACCAATTTCGTAGATCGATGTTCATGCTGTTGATCACTGGATTGTCTGGTCCAGACTCGATTATTTACAGACCGCCGCCATATAGCTGGAATATTGCTGAGTGCGGCGTTAAACCAAACCAAACCAAAATCCAACTTCCAACATGCCAACTTTGTTGATGCATGTCATGGCATCCCAACTGCGTAGACTGAAGCTCATAATGACAGTCATTTGTTTGCCTACGAAGATTCGATTGCGTACAAATCGGTCAGAAATTTATATGCACTAGGAAATTACAATGAATGACGTCCTACCGCAGAGGCCCAATGATGCATTAGCATGACGTCATTCAACTTCAATGCATGTGTGCAAGTAAAGGAGTGTTATCACACTGTATCTGAGCATATGTTAAATTATGATGAGATAATTACATTACTAATATTGCTGTTTATATTTACCTAGCCAATCCAGCCAGTTGAAGACACAACAGCCGATTTGTTTACCAAATACTCAGGGGAAGATGGACGAATGGACTCCTCAGAACTAGCCAGGTTCCTGTCGGCCATATCTAAAACAGGTACATTTCTCTGTCAGTCTGAGATGCCGCACTCTAGACATCGGGTGGTGGGGTAGCCTAGTGGTTAAAGCGTCCGCTCGTTACGCCGAAGGCCCGGGTTCGATTCCCAACATGGGCACAATGTGTGAAGTCCTTTTCTGGTGTCGACCGCCGCGCTATTGCTGGAATATTGCTATAAGCGGCGTAAAACCGATCCCACTCACTCATTCACATTAGATGTCCATGCACACGTTGAATGTTATATTGACAATTACGTTAGAAATGTGTTAATAGCAGCAATAGGAGGTCATCGGAAAACATTTTAATCCTGACCAGTTTCACGTGGTGAAGTGGTTAGAGCGTTCGCCCGGATAGCGGAAGGTCACAGGTTCGATCCCAGCCGCGTCATACCAAAAGACGTTAAAATATGGTACATGTTGGTCGCTTTAATGGGTACAACAAGGACTGGTCGGCTCGGAGTCAGTATAATGTGTCTGAGTGGGTTATTCATGTGTAACCGCGGCATGGTATCTCAGTGGGCTAGCACTATAAAACCAGCTTCAGTCTGGGCTAGTACAAGCAGCCGCACATACACACGCATGCATGTCGTCATATGAGCGAAATATTCTTAAGTAGGAAGTTAAACACCAGTTAGTCTCACCTGACTACTCGAACATACACCTGATGACCACTGACCGTATCTCTACTTTCATCCGGGGACGGTGGGGTAGCCAAGTGGTTAAGGCGTTCGCTCGTCACGCCGAAGACCTGGCTTCGATTCCCCACATGGGCACAATGTGTGATGCCCATTTCTGGTGTCCTCCGCCTTGATATTGCTGGAATATTGCTAAAAGCGGCGTAAAACCCAACTCACTCACTTTCATCCGCTATATACCTTAAGCATCTCCTTGTTAAAAAAACATATACGTATCAAAATAAGATTGTTAAATTTTTCATGGAATGATACTTTGGGAGTGCCAAGCGTTAGCTTGCCGTTGTGGAAGTGTTTTTCTTTCAGTAGATTGTTTACACTCTTCCAGAATTCACGGACCCACTGAACTTCAGTAACGAGGCGTGTCGGAGTCTCGTCAGTATGATGGATGTATCCTTGAAACCTGTCAACATTACTGCAGAGTTATGTCCCCTGGTCCTCTGATCCCGGGAAAAGTTAGCTGGCATAAGGTTTAAAGGCACAATGTCACACTACATTTCTCTAGAAATACATAATGCATATCTCTCAATAATACTAACTATCAGCCTCAGTTGGAATGAATTAATGCAACGTTGCATTAAATCGACTCTCGCGCCCTCTACCGGCTGAACATATTTTCAAGCAAACGCCATAGGGTTACGTCCCTTGGAGCGCTCTTTAGGAATATCCTACGCACAACTTGTAATTGAAACCAGTTCGACAAACACCGACAACACCGCGTGCGACAGTTTTCGATGTACGGAGCAATCGTTTACATTCCATATGTGGCAAATGTTCCTGTTTGGATGCTGTTCGCGTCGAAGTTTCAATTAACGATTTCAGACAGGTCGTAAGGGATAAGTATTTTACTGCATCAATAGGACGCTAAGGTGAGTGCATATGCCCCCAATATATAAATGATTGGCCAAAATATCGTGACATTGTGCCTTTACCATCAACATCGTGTTTAGGTTATGGGATCTTGATATTTATGTATGCATCTGTGAGAGAGAGAGAGTGTTTGGGTGAAAGAGATAGAATGTGAATGAAACCCCCTGAACTTAAGTTCTGACTGTGAGCTATCTGTTACACGCTTCGAAGTAACCAAACTTAATCCGGGTTAGAACCCATCTCGGGTGCTGGGGTAGCCTAGTGGTTAAAGCATTCACTGGCCACGCCGAATACCCGGGTTCGTTGTCCCACGTAGGTACAATGTGTGAAACCCATTTCCGGTGTCCCCCGCCGTGATATTGATAATGCAGCGTAAACTCACACTCACTCTCTCACTCACTGAGCTCATATCACCGTTTGTTCTTTTACCACAGTATAATGGTCTTTTTTTAGCTAACATCAAACACACTTGTTTAAGTCTTACTTTGAGGTATGTTGATCTTACCACACAACACATGTTGTCACATACATCCTTGACGCTGTCAGCAAAACCAGACTGGGTTCGTGAACATTGATGATGTGAAGAAAATATGGAAGGAAGTGAAGACGTTCTCCGTAAGTTTAGCCAGTTCTAAAGACTTGTTTGGTCAATGGAAAACAGTAAGTACCTAGCGTTGAGAGTGCGAGGAGTTGGAATCACCGATTTGACTCAACTTTAGAAGTTGTACTTAACAGAGAAAGCGTTACTATTTTTTAATAACATTTCAAAAGCCATTATTTGCTCACATTAAAAACATTATCACAAATGAACATTTATTGCTGATATCATAAAAAATCCAGTAATGTGCAAAAACGTTATCCCGAATATAAATAAACGTGCGTACAATAATCAGTGTATGAAATAAGGCTCGTCCAATCCTCCGAGACTGCCTAGATTTCTGACGGACGGTCAAAACATACAGCTAGGCAGCCCGATGGTGTGATAAAAATATAAGATACATGTTCCATGTATCTGAGTAATTCACCATATCTTAACATCTATTTTTCAAATTGAGCGTTACGTGTAGACTTGACAATTGCTGTTTAAACATTGAACTATCGCTCAAAGCATTGCGTTGACGTATATTGTCACTAAAACAGCACAAAACAATAACTAAACATTGAGTTATTTTGTTTGGTTGTCTGGCTGGGATTTTGGCTTATTTCCTACTCTGCAATAATGTGATAATGTAAAACGAGTCCCCGTTGGCGTCTGTGCCTATGCAAGTGTATAATTGTGTATACTGATTCATGGGTTCGTGTCTTAACCTGACATGGATGTGCCTCCCCACTGACCCACTGACTATAAACTGTTGTGGCTCGCCAGACATACCCAGGGCATAGCTGCCATGGCAGCTTTGCCCCGATTTCTCGAGACAAACTTAAGTCTGAGTTTTGACTTAAGTTAGAGTTTTTACCCAAAATTGAGAAAACGCATTTCCCAGAATGAACTGAAATCGATATTAAACTCAAACATAGTTGACAATTTGAGTTTGGTGAATAGAATACTAAAGTTTTGGGGTGTTTTTATTTCAAAAATGCTACCGAGTTAAAAATACAGCTGTTTCAAATGGTCAAACTCAGTTTGAATTTTGAGCAAAAACTTGTTTCAAGAAAGTGGGGCCTGATGAAATAAGTGAGTGAGCGAGGTTAGTTTTACGCCGCACTCGGCAATATTCCAGCTGTATGGCGGCGTTCTGTAAATAATCGAGTCTGGACCAGACAATCCAGTGATTAACAGCATGAGCATTGATCTACGCAATTGGGAACCGATGATATGTGTCAACTAGTCAGCGAGCCTGACCACCCGATCCGTTAGTCGCCTCTAACGACCAGCATGGGTTACTGAAGATTAATTCTAGCCCGCATCTTCACGGGTATGATGAAATAAGAACACACAACATTTGATTCTTATCGTCTTTTACATTGACAGGGCGTATTCAAGAAGTTTGACGCTGACAAAACGGGGAGTATTGACACCTTTGAGTTGGGATCCCTCTTCAGCGCGCTAGGTAAGTGTTACTTCTGTTTATCTTACCTTCATGTAAAATACTTTAATTATATGGGTCAATGACGCTTTTAACAAGTTTCCGCTTTAACAATATTACTCGCTGCCACGGTAACCGCAAAACTCTCCGCCCAGAATCGATATCGCTTACAGTCATATGACGTCATAATATGACACATGCAGTGCCCGTTCGATTAGCTGTTTTTGAGTTCACTCTGTACAGATTTATTTTTCCGACTTTCACTGCTTTATTTAAACTTTTTTATACATTGAATTGTTTGCACACTCAACACAATTAACCATTTCTATAGCAGCTATAAGCTTGTCAAAATATGTTTCACTGATTTTAATAACCCAGTCGAGAGGCAGCCACCATTTTGTTTACATGTCATATAGTCGGCAGCGATCTTCAAAATAAAATAAAATGATATTTTGTACATTTAACATGGTAAGATAAATACGTTGTTGCTTCTCCCTTGGGTAATACGGTCTGAGGTACGCCTCTTTGTAGCAGTGTCACCCCAGCTGGTAGGCAACTCGAGAGAAGCATACAACTTATAGTATATAGAGTATTGGGTGAAGCTGCATTATAGGCTTAAGAAATGGACCGGACCGGCCCCTGATATTTAACCCGAACCGGCCCCATGTGTGGAACATTTGTCAAGATTTTCAACACACATGAACCACCTTTCACAGAGTGAATTCTGCTAACATTATGAAAACTCAAACATTCTTCAGCTCCAAAATTAAACTGTTATTTTACGCACGTCTCACTGAGCGATTAAAGTGAATGTGTTGGTTTAATATAATAAATATATATAATAAATTCATTGAAATCTTCATGTCTGTCTGATTAATTGTCTGATTACCGTTAATTAACCCAGGGGCCGGTTCGGGTGCGGGGCCGGTTTGGGTTAAATATCCAGGGGCCGGTTCGGCTTGGGGCCGGTTCGGGTGTATCCCAGAAATGGTCGTAAAATATATCTACCTTGAAATATTCTTAAAAAAACACTATCTTCAACAACTTCTGTGGTCAGGAGGTGGGTTCGATTCCATTGTCTTTAATTTTTAAATTTTTTTAGATATATTTTTAAGATATTTTTAAAATTCTTTTCCATTGTCCTTAATGATAAATACAGAGTTCTCGCCTTCGATTTAAGAAGGTTGATTGGAATCTTTACTCTATGCAGAAAGTGGCATCCCAAGAATTTACACTTGTCAGAGGGGTACACAAACTACGTGATCTTGACTACCAGTTGACCGACTTCCATTGTTATGGAAGCCGCGGAGGTTAAGTGGGTCAGGTGGCTGACTTTGTTTGCTTGAAAGTGTGGTTTCGAATCCCGGACTTAACCGCCACCCACCCCTCGCCAAGTGTACTAGCATCTATACTGTAGTGTAATCCCAAAGATGATACATATTGTTATGTTCTCTTCATCATTCAGGCTTTCCTTTAAGTCGCGGAGTTCTGACTGCCATAGTGAGGCGCTACGGCGGCCGTGACAACCGCATCACCTTCGAAGACTTCGTCATCGTCATGTCCAAGCTTCTTCTTATGTACAGTAAGTAATGCAGTCTTCACGACACACACTCTAGCACAACACACACACTCTAGCACAGTACACACACTCTAACACAACAAACTGGTTCTAGCACAACACACACGCTCTGGCACAATACACACACTCTAACACAGCACACTGGCTCTAACGCAACACACACGCTCTGGCACAATACACACACTCTAACACAGCACACTGGCTCTAACGCAACACACACGCTCTGGCACAATACACACACTCTAACACAGCACACTGGCTCATGCACAACACACACGCTCTGGCACAATACACACACTCTAACACAGCACACTGGCTCTAGCACAACACACACACTCTAGCACAATACACACACTCTAACAGCACACTGGCTCTAGCACAACACACACGCTCTGGCACAATACACACACTCTAACACAGCACACTGGCTCTAGCACAACACACACGCTCTGGCACAATACACACACTCTAACACAGCACACTGGCTCATGCACAACACACACGCTCTGGCACAATACACACACTCTAACACAGCACACTGGCTCTAACGCAACACACACGCTCTGGCACAACAGACGGGCTCTTGCACAACACATACGCTCTGGCACAACAGACGGGCTCTTGCACAACACATACGCTCTGGCACAACAAACGGGCTCTAGCACAACAGACGGACTCTAACGCAACACACAGGCTCAAGCACAACACACGCGCTCTAGCACAACATACAGGCTCAAGCACAACACACGCGCTCTAACGCAACACACGGGCTCAAGAGCATCAGATAGGCTCTAGCACAACACGCGGGTTCAAGCACAACACACGGGTTCAAGCACAACACACAGGCCCTAGCACAACACACGGACTGTTTCCATTGGCCGTGCACTGGAACTCACATCAATCGTTTAACGACATTAAAACACCTACCGCGGTGAGTGTCTAGTTCTCTTCAGCCTGAATAGGAGTAAGAAAAGTATCTTTGACTTTACATTATGAAACTATTAGCAAACTCGGACTCTTTTTTTTTCTTTTTGTTTTATATATGTTCAATGAAAGTAGCTTTTGTTCAACAACGTGAACCACAGTGGGAATCGATATGGTGTAAAGAAGGCATCTTATATTAATACATTCAGTTCTGAATGTAACAAGTAGTGTGACCCTTTGAGGTAGCTGAAGAGCTCCATTATGTGTCACGTTAAAAAGAATTGAAGCTGGTCGCCATCAGAGTGAGTTAGTGAGTGAAGTTTTCATCACTTCAAGCAATATTCTAGTAATATAATGGCGAGGGACGAGTAAAATGCGGGGAATCGAACACAGGTATTCACGAACACCCCAGACACAGACACAAACACACAAAGATACAAGCAGACGCAGACGCGCAGACGCACGCACACGCACTGAATGTCTAATCATTTCTGTGTAGGTATTTTCGTGAAGCACCAGAAGGGGCAGGGCAGCAGGGACGGTGTGGCAGAGTTCACCAGGAATGAGGTAAACAGAACGTTGACGGTAGACCATGCGTGACATTCGTCCTACTCGTAATCCTGAATAATAATGAATGCTGTTTTGTGCCGCACTCAGTAATATTCCAGCTATATCCGAACTAATTGGTAATAACCTATACGCCAAAATATGACGAGATAGACCATACTCTTTAAAACATGACATGATTCATACATGATGACACCAACCCGTGAACATCTGGGTTAGAATTAGTCTTCGGCAACCCATTGTTGTACAGGGAAGTAAATAGCAGAAAAAAGACAGTCATTTTGTTTTTTTATGATGCACCTGGTCTATTAAAAAAACCAAATGTATGGATGGTTCGCTCAAGATTGTGGTAGTATCAACATTTTCATGAATTTGTTTTCACAACGATGTAGGGACAATTTAAAAACTGGCATGGTGGGATCTCAGGGTCAGCATTTCTAAAAAAATAAAGTGGTTTTCAATCTATTTTGGATCTTGAAAAGTATATTCTTGAATTGTTTCATAAAAAAACAAAATGTTCTGCTATGTACCTCCCGTTACAACAACCTATGCTGGTCGTAAGAGGCGATTAAGGGGATAGGGTGGTCAGGCTTGCTGACTTGGTTGACACAAGTCATCGTATCCCCATATCGCAGATCGATGCTCATGATGTTGATCACTGGATTGTCTGTTATTATTGTCTCTATTGTTTACAGGCAGCCGCCATATCGCTGGAATATTGCTGAAATGATATAATATGTCGATATTCTTGATAAATATGAACTGAGTTCTGACAGATATTTACATTCGGTTCCTTTTAAATGAATTTAAATCAGCGAACCACCTGGCCGATCGTGCCACTATGTATTAAACTGTTATTAGTAACACCCCAACCAACTACTGCATGTATACGTCCGTGTTTCAGTTTCTCATGTACACGATGTTTTGCTGATATCAAGGTGAAGGCCATGAAGAATGTGACGTCATACTCCATGCCGTATTACTGGTGCTGACTATACATTGGTTTAATATGAACACATGAAGTAGTTTCCTTACACAATAATGTCAGGGAGTTTATCCATCAAGACCAGGAGAAACAGTTCGCTTCGTTAATCACAGAGTTAATCATAGATATTGAATGTAATCCGGTAGTCCCGGATGCCACAACGGGGGACTACACTCCTTCATGTGGTACCGATGTTAAATTGAAGTTAACACGTCCCATGTTAAATTGAAGTTAACACGTCCCATGTTAAGATGAAGTTAACACGTCCCATGTTAAATTGAAGTTAACACGTCCCATGTTAAATTGAAGTCAACTCGTTCCATGTTAAACTGAAGTCAACTCGTCCCATGTTAAATTGAAGTCAACTCGTCCCATGTTAAACTGAAGTCAACTCGTCCCATGTTAAATTGAAGTCAACTCGTCCCATGTTAAATTGAAGTCAACTCGTCCCATGTTAAACTGAAGTCAACTCGTCGCATGTTAAATTGAAGTCAACTCGTCCCATGTTAAATTGAAGTCAACTCGTATTTAATGCTCAAATAGCAGTATGACACTGTCTGTGTAGTTTTGTGGGGAAAGCACAGCTAGTGTACATCATATGAACAGGGACACAAGACTTTAGTAACTGGCTACGACTGCCAGATTCCCAAGTCGTGCCCCCCTTTACAATCAAAGCACCATGTTGTCTCAGGTCAGATACGTGTGTAGATGTATGTGTGTTAACAGCGTCATCTCAGCATCCACAAACATTGAGTTTGATTTCATCACCTTATTGGCAATGTATTGCTCATCGTTGCAGCAAGGTAAAGTATTGTCTTAGAGTTGGAAGTTCACTATAATCAAAGCACCATGTTGTCTCAGGTCAGATACGTGTGTAGATGTATGTGTGTTAACAGCGTCATCTCAGCATCCACAAACATTGAGTTTGATTTCATCACATTATTGGCAATGTATTGCTCATCGTTGCAGCAAGGTAAAGTATTGTCTTAGAGTTGGAAGTTCAGCTGTTGATAGCAAAGTAGGCTGGAAATAATTACTCTCCGTTTTGTGGATTTAATTGTATCGATGATTTATTTCTCAAGTATGGAATACAAATTTAAATGCACATAAAACAGAAAGCGTTCAGTTATTGAATGAAAGAACTTTTCATTAGATAATTAATGTTTTAGATTATTTCAGTCTAATGCAGTAGTAAATATATCAGCTAGTGGATAGTTAAAAACACATGAACTTGTGGAAAGTAAGGCATGTCCGCTTGTGGAAAGTGTGACATGTCAGTCAGTGAATAGTGGGATATAACAACCTGTGGATAGTGTGACATGTCAGTAAGTGAATAGTGGGATATAACAACCTGTGGATAGTGTGACATGTCAGTAAGTGAATAGTGGGATATAACAACCTGTGGATCGTGAGACATGTCATTCAGTGAATAGTGGCATATATCAACCTGTTGATAGTGAGACATGTCAGTAAGTGAATAGTGGCATATATCAACCTGTGAATAGTTGGACATGTCAGTTAATAGCGGAACATGTCAAATAGATGATTGTTAGACATGTCAGCTAGTGAATATACAGAGGATGGTAGCCTTGTGGTATACGACGGGCATGAACACAATATTTGAAACTGTGTTTCACGGCCGTGATTGTGCTGAAATATTGACCAAGGCGTCGAGGAATCTGACTCGCTGACTCACGTTTTACTTTTGATCACGTGACCGAGACACATTACACGTGACAGTGAGCTACGAGGTATAATAAGGCACTATGGTTCACGGAAATGTTAAAAATGTAATACAACATTGTATAATAACTGCCAATTCCATCACTTGCCAGGTTTTGACTTGATGTCAAACACAGAAGTATTGCCCAAATGAACCCTTCTGATGACCCTCAGGAGAATGTCTAAATGTGTTCATTAGTGATCAGATAATATTCAGTTTTAGTGGACCAAAATCATATCATAAACTGTATCATAGGTCGTCCCTTCTAATCCACTGCCGCGATGCTGGCTCTATCGTATACTGAGAGAAATAAAAAAAGGAACACAGGGAATTTTCCAGTTCATCACCAGCTTTGATTAGCGCTGTGGGAGGAATTCTGAGAATACATAAACACTGACATGAAGCGATGTTCCGTTATTTGTTTCCCTCAGTATATATGTTTTTAGTGGTTTACTAATAACACAGAAATGTCCCCTTGACAGTGTCATGAACACTGTTGGTTAGGATTGGCTTACATGATCGATAATCGGAAATATCGTCGATAGGAAAAATATGATTAATCATTGATTCGATGTGAAATTTGTATTATCGATAATATCGTACATTAACATTTGTAATAGAAAAAAGGTTTTAATTTTCTCACACATATGCAACTTTAGAACTTTATGTATGGTCTGCTTCTAAATTATGTTCAGGACACTGTTTTGTAAATAATCCATTGCAAAACATGCCACCACACACAAGTGATGTAAATATATATTAATTAATTTAAGATATTTTTGGTATTTTACGTTTCCGATATGTATCGATAATCGATCGATATTTAGTAAATGATTATCTATGATCTATATCGATAGCCAGTCCTACTGTTGCTTGCTCAGGACGTCAGGGACTCACTGCCATATCTTGTTCAGTATTGGGTTTTACGTATTTTCAAGAAATGTTGGTGTCTTGTGCTACGAACTGTGGCTTTGTGTTCTTTGCTTGTACATGTTCATATAAACGTACCGTAATATTCATATGAGCAGTTTTTGCTCTGATGATGTATAAATAATATAATCCATATGCAACTGACTTCGTCAATAAAAGAAGACTGATGATCAAGCTTTTACATAATTTTTTTGCATCATGAAATTTGTACATTCAAAATACTCTCCACAACTCCTCATTGAGGGAAATGTGGGATTCATTGCAAACAAGAAAAAAGAGTTACTTGGAAAAACATATCACTGGAGGACACACCCAAACTGTGAACTGTGGCTGTGAGCAGTGGCTGTGAACAGTGGCTGTGAACAGTTCTCAAATATGTCCAACAAGGATTATTTGTACGGGATCAAAACCGCCAGTGTTTTTTAAAAGTGTATTTGTTTGATCGACTTGATTATTCATGGATTGGATTTTCGTTTCTTGGATTGGAATGTGGATTATTCATAAATCTTCAGGTACACAAATTGATAAAATATCCGAAATTCATGATATCATATCTTACAAATACTATAGCAGATTTATAGATACTGTCACAGGGGCTTGTAACGCTAAAAACTGCCATCAAGGTATGTACTGTCACTAACGGGGTCTTAGCACTATATAGAAGGAAAGGGATGCAACGAGGTCAACACACCAAGTTCGTTTCAGAGCGAATTCAACAATGCTCACTGTATCTATCCCATTTAAAGTATTCACACATTTCAAGCTAATAGATTTACCTACAAAATAAGACATAGAGCACAAAAAAATCGAAGCAGTACTTTGAGAGCTAGGGCTTTCGGAAGCTCTATAAATCGTGATTTATCGATTCCGAGCCCAAATCCCTGATCAGAATTTGTAGCTGTAACTCATCCATTTTCTTGTTTATTTCACAGTATACACATACGACATTCACCAAAACATGTTGAACTGATGGCACCTGTCAGCGCACTAGTTGCCATTCTTTCGGAGACACTTACACCACACTGCCATAATGAGTTTACGTACATTTATTCATCGCAAACAGAATTGTGTCGTGCCCGTTCGCCATTGACGACTTTGGCTTTAACCTGCCCCGCACTTAAAAAAGCAAGGGAGCTCATTGGCTATAAATAAAATATGTCCCAGCAGATCACTGACTCTTTTAAGTTCGGGGCAGGTTAAGGCCAAGGTCGTCAATGGCGAACGGGCACGACGCAATTCTGTTTGCATAATACATACCTTGATGGCAGTTTTTAGCGTTACAAGCCCCTGTGGATGTTCACATGCAGACAGTAAACGTAATTATCAGGCATGGCATCTAAATGTTTACTGTAGATATCTAAGAAAGTATGAATTATCCAAAAGTTACTTTTACGCTAACAGGACAGTAATATATCTAATAGCGAATTTCAGACCTTGAGTAAACAGTATTATACAATTATTGACTTCTAGTGAGGTTGATCCAATGATTTATCATCGATAGACCTCAGTGAATATCACATGTCCAGGGTCCATAAATCATTGGATTAACCGCACTGAAGTCAATAATTGTTTTATTATATGACAAAAGTGCTGAATACCTGTTCTTCTGTGACATATCGTGGTGTCGTGTCGTCTGCCATTTTGATACACGTAACTCTAAACCAACACAGTCACAGGGACGAAACGATGACTATCGGTTCCTTATCTAGCGTGACGCATGCATGCAGCAAGGTCAGAAACCTCTTGATTTATTTATGTACTACATATTACTTTTTCTCCCCTATAGTATTTTGATTCCATAACTTTACTGACAATGCACTATTTAGGGTATTACATCTAAAGTACCTTTGTAGTTGCATAACGATATTGAAAATACAATATTTAGGATATCATCTTTGGTATACATTGCTTTTTAGTAGCATAATGACATTGATATAACAATATGTAGGATATTACAGCTACAGTAAACATACCTGTTTAGTTGCATTATGATTAAATATCGATCACATGTCTAACTTTCTAAATGACCAGAAGTGTCTATTAAAGAAACCATAAATTCATCTTGGTTTTTAGATGCTGGCAGGTCTTTTTGTATCCATTCTTTTGAAATGCTTAAAGGTATGTTTCATATACAGCATAGTGCAAAATCCACAAAACATGCTACCGATATATACGTATTCACAAGCCCTATTTTATACTATTGTTATGAGTATATAACATCAATCCGCATCTTTGAAAATGGTTGAAAGGGGAAAGGATTAAGGCTGTGTCTCTAAATTGTAGGGGTTTGAATAATGGTTTTAAAAGAAATAGGTTGTTTCGGTTTTTACGTAGAATTCTTTTTTACATGCCTACTAAAAGAAAACCAAAACCTTGTGTACCCTCCTCGCGCGTCCAAGACATAGGTGCACCTTGTTCTCATGCTCCTTATCAAATTCATTAAGAGAGCTGGTGGAATCGCATTCCATTCCTCTACTAGAAATCTGCGGAGTCCTGGGAGATCCGCTTGTGCTTTGTGACGTGCGTACACAAGTCGATCGAGTTCATCCCAGGCATGCTCAATTGGTTTGAGGTCTGGTGGGCATGCTGGCCACTCAATCCGCTCTACACCCTGCTGCCTAAGGAATTCCGTGACCATCCTGGCCCTATGAGGCCTAGCGTTGTTGTCTTGCAGTAAAGAGGATCTACGATAAAAGCCATGCATAGCTTGCAGAAATGGTACTCCTATAGGAGCCAGAACCTCGTTCCGATAACGCTGTACGGTAAGATTACAGTCGACCACGTGCAGTGAAGTATGTCTAGTAGGGGTTATCCCTGCTCAAACCGTGACCGAGCCCCTGATAAATCGGTTATGCGTGGTCACAGTTGCATCTGTTATTTGCTCTCAATTGCGATGATAAATCCTCTGCGGACCATCATGGAAGAACAAATTGGATCTTCTTTCATCTGCTAAGAGCTCACGAGACCACTGACGTTGATTCGAACGGTCATGATGTCTACTCCATCTCAAATGCTCCTGCCTGTGACGTGGTGTTAGTGGTGGACGAACTGCCGGTTCGCCTACGGTGGAGTCCGGCTTCCCTTTTACGTCGACAACTGGTGTTAATGAGTGAGTGAGTTAATATTTAACGTCACATCGGCAATATCTCTGCCATATCGTGACGAGAACAATCCACACAATAAAAGGTGAAAACATTTTGAAGATTAAAGCCTGTCGACGATGGACAGTAAAAATACTAGATAATCAAAGGTATAATATAAAACTAGCGAGCAGAGCTAAAACATTCCAATTAAAGAAGACAATACAATATAAAACACGGGCTATAGATCGCCAACAACTGAAGGTAGATCACCATACTAGGAACCATGGGGACTTACATTACTTTTGCTACCTGCATGGACCCTAGGTGGATTTACACCATCCCTTCTGCCGCTGGCGATTGAAGGATAATTAAGCCGAAATTTAAAAGATCAAAAATACTACGTTTAAAAACTTGGTACGTGAAAATTTTACTTTGAAAGTTTATGGGACTTACGTACCCTCGCAGGAGGACAATAATTTTACGCTACTTCAACCCCCTTTGAGGGTACAGCCACTAACAATCTCAGTTACTAATCTAAACTACCAATAATAAAATATGTATCTATTTACAAATCAGTTAACAAGTCTAATTCTTTTAAAAATGCAATAATATAATGAGAACTTATATTACTAAAAAGATCCTTCATAGTTTGTGATTTGAAATAGATATCCCTAGTGACGGAATATTCAACACAGTCAAGCAGGACATGCTTGACCGTGATTCTTTCATCACAAGGGATACAAAACGGAGGATCCTCACCTTTTAATAGGTACTCATGAGTATATCTTGTGTGGCCAATTCGACATCGTCGTATGATGACCTCTTCAATTCTGGACTGACAACCCAAGTAAGTGTAACCGTTATAGGGTTTTATTTGATGTAATTTGGTAATACCTACTTTGGGGTCCCACTTCTTCTGCATCAGATCACGGATGTAAGTTCTAATGCTAGCTGTGTAATCAGAGTATTGAATAAGAAGTGGTGTCACAGATTTGTTGAGTGCTGCCTTGGCAGCAAGATCAGCCATTAATCCCAGAAATGCCAACGTGCCTGGGTAACCAACAAAAGACGATTTCGCATTGGCCAGTAGCAAGCTCATTATACTATTCAATAATTTCTAATGAAAGTGGATGTTTACAAGAAAGATTTTTAAGAGCCTGAAGACAAGAAAGAGAATCGGAAAATATTATGTAGTGTTTATATTTACGGTGTTTATTAATATATATAAGAGCTGTTAATTGGGTGTTAGCTTCTGCTGTGAAAATAGAGCTGTTATTTGGTAATCGAGAAGATATTGTTCTGGATCCAATGACAGTGGCACAAGCAATCGCGCCACCATGCTTGGACCCATCTGTAAATAAGGATTTGTATGTATTATATTTATTTCTTAGTTGACTAAATTCTTGTATATACTGTAATTCATTTGTTTCTGATTTTTTTAATGTAGTTAATGTTAGGTCAACGTGTGGCCTAACCAACTGCCAAGGAGGTGAAGAAAGCAAACGGGAAGGAGTAAGTGAGTGAGTGAGTTATTATTTAACGTCACATTGGCAATATTGCAGCCATATCGTGACGAGAACATATTTGACATTGAAATGGAATATATATATGATAAAAACATGTCGCCGAAGGACAGTAAAACAACTAGAATATCACAATGAGAATTAAAACTAGCGTGGAAAGTTAAAACTAATAGCACTAGTTGGACAATGCAATATAAAAACAGGCTATAGGTCGCCAACAACTGAAGGTAGATCACCATACTAGGAACTAGTGGTGTTCCGATTAATTGAAATAATCGAAGATTGGTCGCAGTGACCAAACGACCAAGCAATCGATCATAATCGAATATAAACGATTTTGGAACTACTGTTTAGTCTTTGAAATACTTGACAATGGAACATATCTTAGAAGTTGTCAGGGCCTCACAACATGTTTATTTCTTAGAAAACTCACTTCACTAACTGAAAAGTCATGACTGATTATTTCTCTAAGACTCCAGGAAGTTTATGTTCATGATATATTAGTCATCACTTTAATGTAGCACGTTGCAACATGTTATACTTTTCTGCAGTAACAAGCTGGAT